TAATATTATGACTTTATTCTCGTAATTTAAAAAAGTAAAAAAAAATATTGTGTGGCCCTAATACTCCGTTGTAGGAAAATGCTCAAATTAGCTAAATAAAACCAAAAGAGCGCATTTGCTGAATTAGGCAGAAGAAACACTGAAATTAATAAAAAATGGTGAAATTAGCATAAACAGATCAAATTAGCAGAAAAACAGCTAAACAGTACCAGATAGGACACAGGAAAAAAAAAGCTGAAATTAGCAGACAGGAGCTGAAGGAAGCTGAAATTCGCACAAAAAAGCTGAAATAAGTATAAACAAACAGCACAAATGAGAAGGAAATGATTCGTTTTCAACAAGAAAAAGTGTCTGAAAAAGATAAGTRTTTAAAAAATAGAAATTGCACAAATCCAAAAAGTCAAAGCAGGAATGTCCTGAACAAGCAGAATGTTTTCGTATTTGAATTGTTGAAACGTCACAAAAGGTGAGGAAAAAGTAAAGTGTCAAAAAAAAAATCACAGAAATATTGGATCTCAATTGTGTGAATGCTTCATAAATATTGAGACAATTAAAGGGAATATGTTCTTGGGGGGAAAGTCAGATTTATCAGACCCTTCATTCGTATTATTTTTTTGTTTTGATTCCCAAAAAATTACAGTAAATTATGGGAAAAAATAACAAGTTGCTCCCAAATGTCTTGTCAACATGTTTACACAAAAAATGGTCATTTTTAAGCCTTTGACAGTGTGTTCTTTCCTTCACATGATGAATATTTCATTAGGCAATCACCAGCATCAGCTTCTCGACCATATTAAAATTTTACCACTACTCTTGTTTTGTTACCTCCGGGCATGAAACTCACTCCTCTTTCTGAAGCCTGAAGGCTGAAGAAGAGTGGATAAGGTGTCATGGTCACACCCTGACTGGTGAACTGAGTTCAAAAAGCAAAACACAAAAGTGACGGTAATATAGTCTCTCTTTTTTATTGTACAGGATTACTAGTATAGTGTRTGTTGCTGGATGCATAGCTGAACTGCTTAACTTAACTTTACCCAAGTGGTTTAATCCTTGTTTGAGGACTTTTTAATTCAGGTGCAAAATATTTTTGTTTTATTTAGACTTTTATAAGAAAAAAAGAACAGATTTGTTTTTCAAAGTCAGTTTTTCACCATGTAATTCATACATTTATAAATGTCATATTTTATTAATTAAATATTTAACTTACAAATTAAATATTTAGTTAACAAGCTAAATTTTTAAATTGTGACTTATTTAGTTTTGAGCTAAATATTTATGTTGCAACCTAAATATTTAGCTCAAAACTAAATATTTAAGTCACAACTTAAATATTTAGCTAACAAGTTTAATATTTATCTAGTCACCTAAATATTTAACTTAAATGTTTAGCTAGCTACCTAAATATTTAGGATGCAACTTAAATATTTAGCTAGCAACTTAAATATTTAGCTAGCTACCTAAATATTTAAGTTGCAACCTAAATATTCAGGATGCAACTTAAATATTTAGCTAGCTACCTAAATATTTAAGTTGCAACCTAAATATTCAGGATGCAACTTAAATATTTAGCTAGCAAATTAAATATTGAGGTAGCTAGCTAAATATTTATGTTGCAACCTAAATATTTAGCTCAAAACTAAATATTTAAGTCACAACTTAAATATTTAGCTAACAAGTTTAATATTTATCTAGTCACCTAAATATTTAAATTGTAAGTTAAATATTTAGTTTATAAACTAGGACATTTAAAAATGCATGAATCATATGGTGAAAAACTGACTTTGAAAAATAAATCTGTTCTTTTTTTTCTTATAAAAGGCTAAATAAAACTAAAATATTGGTGGTAATTTTTGATTGTGTAACTTTGCAAACGGCACCCCGTACTCCTGATATGTTTCAATTGCAACAAATCCACACTCTAAAAATGAAATGTTGGATTTACTYAACCATGTTATGTTACCTGGTTCCACTTAACTGAGTTGAGTAAATTCAAAGCAACATGCTCATGTTCTTTGGTTAAAAAACTGGTATRTTGCTTTGAATTTACTCAACTCAGTTAAGTGGAACCAGGTMACATAACATGGTTAAGTAAATCCAACATTTCATTTTTTACAGTGCAGTTCTTCAATGCCAACCAGACTCCAGACAAGTTGGTCAGAATGGCCTTTTAATCAGGCACCAAACCTGTCTCCTTTGATCACATCTGAATATCACCTTTTATCTACAAACTTATCCTTAATCTTTGGTTTCCTTTTTATGAAATGTCAATGGGCGGCTCTTCTATCTTGCATTTAGCAGACATTGTGGGATTTCTTTATTCTTGTTCGCTAACTTAACCACAAACTATGCTGACTCAAAAGACTTCTGAAGGTGTTAGCCATGTCAAGGGTCTCCTTACCGCAGATTTGTTTTATAGTGTAATTTTCTGCTAGAACAAAGGGATCTAAGGTAGCTGCTRATCATGGTGCCCTCAGGCTAATTGCCAAGAAGCTTGGCCATTGTCTCCGTCTTTGCCTCAACACACACAGCAGAGAGGAAAGACTCAAGTTGGACAACAACATGTCAAGTACTTCCCGCCTGTGGATGGATGAGTGGATGGAAGGATGTTGGAGTGACGCAAAGAGTAGGCAGTTTTTAAAAAAAAAAAAACACAAACAACCGCCGCACTTTTTGATTTCTTTGCATGATTTCGTTCTTAGGAGGGTGACGTGTACCTCCGTCGAGCCGTGGCTGCGTTTCAGTGCGAGGTTTCTGGGCAGGGACCTCTCGGCTCGCGTCTTGCTGTGGCTTTTGGACTCGTCTTCCAGAGGCTGATCCTTCACGATGTACGGGCACTTCTCCTCAAAGTCGTCCTCGCTCCACGATCTCATATCTACATCCTGTGTCCCTGACATGGTGACTCTGATACTRCGTGGAGGCTCTTCTGAGGTTAACATAGCTGGGGTGCATTCAGAGGAGGGGGCCTACAAAAAAAGAAAGAAATGCAAAGTTATTGTCAACAAATATTTTATTTGCGTCGTTAAAAACATGACAGGGACGATAGATGAAGCAGATTTCTTTGAGCTAGTACGAGTTTTTCTTGAAATATCTCCTTCATTGACAACCAACATGATTCTGTTTTCCTTTTTTTGTGACATGAATTTTGGGAAAACATACAAAGTACCCGAGTGTGAAGTGAGAGAGGCAACGGCAAATTTGGGATGAAGAATTGAATGTCAGCTGCTACTACCGGACAAACAAACTTCAAAGGTCTTACTGCCCCGTTAGCCCCGTACATCCTGTGACTCTCCAAAGCACAAGCCCCAGGCTAGAAGGAAAGGGGTCTTTTGCACGCCAGCCCCCGAAGCAAGACCACTTTCACAAGGAAACAAGCACTCCTGGCGAATCAACTCGACTTCCTTTAAACTGACTTGGCCCTCAGCCAAGTTTGAGCTGTCTTTCATTTTCTTTCTGCTCGCCACTTCCCCCCCGCTGCTGTCTTCTCTTAAAAACTGTGGTCAGGTAGTTCAAGCCTACATCAGGGTTTGAAATAGAGAAGTGTGAAAAGAAAGATGTGTGTGATTCGGAGAGCTTCGTTTGTCAAGATGGTGACTGATAAGCTCGGGGCTTGTTAATATTTGGTAAGCAATCATGTGACCTGTGTTTTCACCTGGTAAGAGGTTAAAATCAACTCGGAATTTAATTGAGAAAACTTGTCAAATGTTAATTTTTGTTTAGCACGCTCAGGAGGAAAAACAATGCAACCAAAACTGCAGCAAGATGAGATTTATGCACTATACTTCACCCTCATTTTTAATTTTTTTTCTGAAGCATGTTGCCACAGCTGACTCGGAATGACTGTTTCGAGTTTGACAGCTCACTCTGAAACCCGTAAACCTGGTGACACAGCAGAAAATGTGTTCTGAAAATCAAGACACGACTCAAAAGGTCACGTATACGGCTCGCACAGCGATGGATCAGTTTGACTCTAGAAAGCACACTTGAAGCTTCCTGTGACAAGTCGTCTGCAGAAAATGAATGAATGAGCAAACGAGGCAACAAATCAGTACAGTCTGCAGTCGCAAACAAATCAGAATATTTAGTACAATCTCATCTGTGTGATTTGATCAGTTACAGATGCACACTTACTTTAAAGCCTTGAGAGGAGCCACACATAAGGCAGTCTGTCGTTGCCCTCCTGGAGCTTGAATGTCTCTCAACCAGTTGCTGTTTTGTTTTGTTTTTTGTGTCTGTTGCTCACCCGACCTCAGTCTACCGAAGTGTGACCAACTGTGTGACTGAGCGCTTGATTGTGGAGGAGGGAAGGTGTGTCTGTGAGAACGAAACACACTCCCCTTTCCTCTCGTGCTCCCCTCCACCACCACTTTTTTTTTTTTTTACCCCACGATGACTCCTCCTTGGAGAGTGTGTGTTTGTCACCGTCTTGCCCCGAGGCGTGAGGCTTTCTCGAGGGGTGGGAGGGCTGGCCTGGCTGTCACACAGCTATGTCCGGATCACACAGATACATCTTCATCTTTTGGCAGTCGTCCTCTCTCTGTCTGTGGGCAAACAGGAAGTCATACCTGTGAAAGATTTGAAAAAAAAAATAAAGCTAAACAATACGTTTTTTATTTAATTCAAATAAAATACTGTTTGTTGTATATAGATAAAAATAAATCAAGAAAAAAACATTCAGGGTGATAAATCACATCTGCACTGGCAAATAGCTATCTATGGGCTGCCAGAAATGGGGGATGATTTTTTTAAATATATATTTTTATTAGAGTCAGTGGCGCCTGCAGAAAATMTTTTCGGGGGGGCCACTGAAAAACCAGGGGTGGCACACCAAAACTAATATCTATGACATAAATTTTATGATGTGTTTGTAAAAATGACAAATTGAAAATTATGGCGATATAAAGCTACGGATTTGCCAACAGATGTTCRAYTTGTAATTTCACAGATAATATCACTGATTTTATGACATTTAGAAACAAAAAACACGAGTAAGTATTTGTAATGTTGGGAGGACCCACTGGTGGGGGGTCTGGGGGTCCTCCCCCAGAAAATTTTTAAAGAAATAAATGCCATTTCCTGCATTCTGGTGTATTTTAACATGTTGTTAATCGTATTGTTACCTGCATAGGAAAACACTTAATGTGATTATTCTATAGAATAAAATGAAATAAAATGTCCCTTAATTGTTTAAGAAAACATGTTATGACCATAAAAAATGAACAGATTTCTGTTCTTTAAAGGAGGCCTTCCGTGGTCAAGTTCAAAGGCAGGTGGAACGTTTATTCCACCCAGGGTGACCACTACAATAGGTAGGGGAATTGAAAAAGGAAAAACCTGGGTACTCAAGAGGATAAAACTGGGGGGCCACTAGGATGGCCAGCTTATTCTCAGGGGGGGCATGGCCCCCCTGCCCCCCCCCCTTCTGGCGCCCCTGATTAGAGTTGATTTAGTCTGTAAGATAATCACAGGTGACTTGTTTTGCCTGCTTTGTTACATGAGGTGTCATATGGTGCAGAAAATATTTTGTGATTAAAGTATGATCATTAAAGCTGCAATTGGCCTGATAAATTCCAGGCCTATATTGTAAGTGCTAATATGGAATATATGTATCTATGTGTTTTTTTTTTGTGCATTGTACGTGTGTGTTTTTCTTTTTTTCTTCTTTTTTCCCTGCTGTCTGCACAACAAATTGCCCCTTGAGGATAATAAAGTTTACTTGACTTGATGCAGTCAAGACAAACTACTGGCGCTCGGTGTGTAAATAGAAAACAAAATAAGGATAATGGAAGTTTCAGTTACGATCTCAGATAAAGCTCAGGCTTTCATTGTCTACCTTCATAAAACACTGATTTTATCTCAAGAATTTAGTTTAAAAAAACCTCTTCAAATGGTTGGAAAATGCACAGTTTTAAGTAGAGTTTTTGCTAAATCTACCCCCCTAGAACTGCTGCACTCCACAGTTGCTCCTTAAAATAAACAGGTGTTCCTCATTGCCRTCAGCAAATGTTGGCAGGTATGATGCAGACTTCACATGAATTAKATTATTAACTATTTTAATTGAACAAAGTGGTTTTTAAAGATAAAAAATAATAATAAAGACAAAACTATTTTGGATGTGAGATGTAGAAAACTGCACAAGKGGGGCCACCYGAAATCAAGCYTATTGGCTGTTTCACATTAACCTGCACACATTAGGATATTTTCACACAAACACATTGCTTGTTTTATCCACGTGCAAACTTACTAAAAGTGAGCTTTATTAAGACAAAACACAAGATAAAGTTCCATAAAATGTTATTTTATGGGGCTAGTTTACTGCAGTGTAACCACTTGGCTAAMGCAAAAGTCCGGCGGTTGTTCTGTGCGTGTAGAAGTGAGGACCAGAACGTGTTCATACTTTAACTGTTTGTACTGTAATCATCTGGCTTTAGCTCTGCAGTCTTTTCTGACATTTGTTCCTTTCTCGTTTTCATTTGTTTGGCCGTCAGCCAGCCGCGTCAGGGATGGTCGAAGTTCTCGAACTCGTCACGCGTGACACGTGCCCCGCTGTGACGAGTGCAAYGGCCTGTGAAACCAATATTGTCACGAACCTTTACGTTCTCGTTGACTTTCACCTGTTCAGGAACGTTCGAACTGTCCAAATGTCAAGTGGGTTCCGTTCCTTTGCGGACTCTGCTTTGTTTTCACCGTGTTTTGTCCTTCCTTTCATGCTTCCTGTTCCATTCACCACACCTGACCAAGCTACTAATTATGGCTGCTGACATGAACCACCATGTAATTTAAAATCCACTTCTCTCTCTCTGTCGCTCTCATTGGCTGTTTCGTTCTTTCTCCTTGCCTTCAGTCATGTCATTCATCACCTTCCATTCAACACTACTCTCTTCCACCCCCTCCTCTTCCTCTTTAATACCTCTCTATCTGAACCTTATCCTCACTCCATTTATTACTTGGAGGGACCGCATGAGTAATTCACATAATGACAGCGTGAACTTTTAGTTTAAGTCATTCACAGGCCTTGCAGAAATCGTGCGTGGGTGGATAATTTTGAAGTGAGATTTGTATCTTCGTCTGGTTAGTTAGAAGTTTGTTTCAACCCTGTCATATCTGGATTGCATTCTTAGAATAGCAGGATGATTAGTAGACTTAAGGAGTATTTGAATTTGGTTTACAGAAAGGAAATAAGGAAGTGTTAAATTCATAACTAATAAGTTGCTAAGTCATTTCGTCATTTTGTCAGTTAGATCCGTCAATCATTCTGAAATTAATCAAAACGTTCGGCATCAGTCTTGGCTGCCATATTTGCTTCAAACATACTCTCATCTGAACYGTTTATTTCAAGTTAATTAATTCCCATGTTTTTATGGCGTCATTAGCAAGTTTCACTGCGTCTGACTGGTGTGCTAGTGTCTGTTTGAAACTATTATCGAATTCAGGACTTTTCCTCAAGTCGAGATTTTTTTTTAAAAATTTCGTTTAACCCAGGGGTCTGCAACCTTTACGATCAAAAGAGCCATTTCTGCTACTCGACGCACTAATAAAATATGTCTGGAGCCGCAAAACAAGCTACAACTGTGGTTACCAACTGGTGGTCCGTGGGCCTTTTAGAGGCCTTTTCAGGAATCTTTATGGCCAGTGGTGGTGACATTATAAAGCTAAAAAATATAATGTGAATTTTATTATTATTTATTATTTTTACCCATCAGGACAAATGAAAAATCTATATTCATGTAAAAAAAATGTGTATAGTTTATAAAAATTTCAAGAAAGCTAATACAACTGAACTATTCAGGCATGTTTTTCTTTTCTAATTTTTATTAATATGTAGTCTTCAAATTCTTTAAAGGTAATTCTGATGGATTTGAGAAAAAGATCATTGAAAGAAGTTGGATTATTTACGTAAACAACAGGCTAGCATGAGCTAATCAACATGTTTTACTTTTTGTATTAGTAGTATTTATCATATATTTGCGTACAAATAATTTCTGTTGTGGGTATAAAAAACAAAACAAAAAAATTCATTATTTTTGGCCAATCTTCAAAGAGCCACTGCAGAGGGACCAAAGAGTCACATGCGGCCCCAGAGCCACAGGTTGCAGACCCCTGGTTTAACCGTAAAACTTGAAAACTGATTGCTAAGACACCCTTTTGTTTGAGTTTGGTCACTTTAGATTTGCAAAGAGAACAAGATGAAAATGTTGTATTCAAGACCACCAAACCAAGACCAAGTCAAGACCAAAGAAAAAGGAAACTAGTGCCCTAAAACATACAGTTCACAATACACAGGTAGATAATTTAATATGAATAGCTAATATGGACTAAAGATAATGTTAAATGTTAATGTAATGTTAGCAGATGGCTAACTAGCTAGCTTTGCTAATATCACTGTCTATGTGCTTCCTTTTTAAGTGATGCTAAAAGTTTTACATAGTCCACACTGACTCTGACAAGTCGCTGGACACTTTCTCCTGGATGTTGTTTTACACATTTTTTATTCTTTAGGATTAATGTTGCTGAATTGCAAGAATTTTTTTTTGACAAAAACCTGGCAAATTAGTGATATTTCCACAATTGTGGTCTTGACTGGTCTTGAAATAAAATCCTGAGTCGAAATAAGTCGAAGTAAGAAATGCTGTTAAAGTCACACGTGAATACGTTTGTTCTCGCGATAAGTCATTACAAAC